GAATTTGAATCCACAGTTCATTATGCGTGCTGTGGATTCTTCAAGTTATCTGTATTGTTGTTGTTACAGATTGCGGATCGTTGAATCCTAATACAACACTGCTAACTTGATTTATCTGAGCTTTATCAAGATGTCAAGAACACTTCATTCCACCGTACCAATTGCAATGTTTTTATGTGTACTGTACGGCACTCTGGCTGGCCGGTTTTCTTCTTTGGAAGAGAAGAGAGTCGATGCAGATTCGGGCCTTCCATGGGGAGAACGAGCTCAGAGAACGACCAGTCATGCATTGGGAAAAGAAGAACTGCAACCAGTGGTACGCCGGTACAAATGGGATGCTTATCTTGACTTGCCTTGGGGTTGAAAGAAAACTTTGTTTGACGTATAGTTGATAACAGTATAATATAACAAATTATGACATTTGCACAACTGCAGGCATTTTGTCTAATCCCGGAGAATATAGTGCCAGAAAGGGCATGGCTTAAGGATGCATGTACCGCCGTATAAGGGAGTGCCAGCACGAAAACGTAAAACGGATGCAAGTAACAACCTTTTCGGGCGCATGGAAACCGTTGATTTGTTGACCTGCGACAAGTGGTATTGTAAAGGTTTGCGCAATGCTTGGGTAACAAAAATGCTGCAATATAAACTTTAAATCAGAATGCCTTCTTTCGGCTTGTAACATGGATCAGATAAGTTAACTGAAGAAATGTAGCAAGGTAACTATATCCCAGGGTCGTTTGTCAAACACATACTAAGTGGTCGCCATCGTCTACTTTCCGAAGCCTGCGTCAGCTCACGGTAATGTGCTGTCTTCACCGCCGTCCAACATTGCAATATCAATCCGAGGTGTAAGTTAACTGAGTCTTTTCTCGTGGCTCCGTTGCTCCCTAAAGACCCGACGCTGGTGATCTCAACGGATCAAATGCAGTGTTTTCACAGCTCAGTGTACAGAGCTAGCCAGAAGCACGAGAACTACAGTTGATTGGGGCACACAAGCACACCAGAGATGACCAGTTTAGGTGATTCGCACATGTTCTAATTACGGACAACGGCAGTCTATTCATGGCTGGCTATTTCTCCTAAAGGATATCCCAGTTGGTTATATTCACTCCGACAAACAACACGAGAGATTCGTTATCACATTTCCACTCACGACCATCCCAATTTAATGGACAGCGCGTATCGACGAACTGCCGAGTGCCACGCAACTCGCTTGATGATCCTGCGTTTAGCACGGTTGTTTGGAATCTCAACCTTTCAATCACGGTCCAAAGTATTAAAAATAAGAAAGAAACGGTGCTTGACTGGGACAATAGTCTGCACAACAACCTTAATGGTCATGTCTTGTGAGTTGGTCACTTCCGAATCGATAGCTTGTATTCCCGGAAGAGATATTCCCTCGAGCATTTATCCGCAATATTCAGTTCTATTGCACCCTGGTAAGAACGAGAGTTAGGAACGCCCGGTGTGTTCACGGTGACTGGAAGAACTTCTCTATTGAAAACTGAGGTCAACCGGATAGCTTGGTGCACATCCTGCAATCCTGCTTGCTGGGTCACACAAGACACGTGACTTTGCTTGTCACGATCAAGTTGGAAGGTTACTCGGAAAACTTCCCTGATCTCTGGACGTCTTTTATCGAACAACCTGGTGGCTGTTCGGAAGCGCCAAGCAACGTTGACGGAGGTGAGCACTGTCTCAGATGGGCATGCAATGCGTGTAAAATGAAGAGAAGCTTAATTATGTTGTTACCATATGTCCCACTGCTATGATCATGGCTCCACGTGCCATCGATTGTGATTCGGTTATGAACCAATGACCATTTCATATCATCCTTAGTACACCAAGGCTGTTGTTGGACTGTGGTTTCCTGAGGTCACGGTCAGCGATTTATGCTTGTTTACCGTTTGGGGCTGCCTATATACGATACCCATGTGAGCGACTCACAGCACTGCGTCTTTGGCCAATATGTTCCACACAGGACCCTTTGTCGGACACCTTGTGCCTCATTCGCTCGTCTTTACTCTACCAGCGCTTAATGCGCCTTGAAAAGCATACAGCGCTGTTTTCGGTTCTTCAGAGACTGGTTTCTACACTTCCAATTTAATGTCAAACATGCCATAAGTTGGAAATCATTTCATCAGGCTGACAAAAGACTAGTGGTGGCATACCTTCTTCCTAAACGCTCCCCTTCTTTTTATTTCTTCGTATACATTCTTCCATATCTGTCATTCGCATTTTGATCGTGCCGTTCAAAATTAACGTAATAGTAATTATAAGTAACTGCCTAAGGCTTCTTAATATGGAAACATGTAAAACGCTTTGCATTTGAACACTTGGATATTTTCGGAACCGGAGCAGTAGTTTTATGAAAACGTGTTCGATTTATAAAAAAACAACTCATTTGACCGGTCAGTTAGATCGCAACTGGTTCGTTCCTCATGAGGAAAGACTGCGAAGTGAACCACTTTATTAGAGAAACTCACTCATTTGCATACTAATTTGGTTTTTCGAGAGTCTCACCTGGAACCCAGTTGAATCTCGCGTTTGCGATGTTTCCACACACTTGAATGTGCTGCACCAGGCCGCCTCATGTTTCAGTTGGTACGATATCCGTATATACATGTATCACGATATCTCCGATATCGTACTAACTGAAACATGAGGTGGCCTAATGCAGCACATTCAGTTGCCTTGAAACATCATAAATCGGTTACTCCGCTGGGTTCCAGGTGAGTCCCTTGCAAAACCAAATTTGTTCGCAAATGAGTGTACTCTCGTGTAATTTGGTTTCAAGTGAAACATAAGGTTGACAGAAACTCAGAGAGTGCACTTGCTTGATGAGCCCCAAGAAGGGAGAAACCGTTCTTGGGCCGTTGAGGAATTTTCAGCAACCTTATGAGTAGTGCATTACGCGAATAAGTTTATCTTTGCTGCCGGTCGGGTAGGCGCGCAAACTGTCACGCGCACACGAGAGCATAAGTTGTCAATTCGAGCATACTGAGACAGCGAATTACCAATGTCACCAGCATTACCACTTCCACCAACACCAGCGCAGTCTCTCCGACAATGGTCTAGACGGATAGGTTACTTATGCGTCAACTGGTGCGCTATACCGAGCGTGAGAAATGAACTGAAGTGAACAAATTCAGTGGCTCACCCGTCCTCCATGTATGTCTCACTTGGACTTGATTCGCTCAACAAGCTATTCGGTTTTAGTATGTTGTACGGAGCGTCAGTAAACGTATTATACAATTAAAGCAAGAGGTTGCTAGGCACATTGGAATGATCCCATTCCAGATCGTGATCAGGGCTTTCGGACCCAAATTTTCACGGCCTCAGTTCCCAGGACTTTTCCCACGTTCACTCACTGGAACTGATGTGGCTAAAAGTTAAGCATCGATCCTACTGTCTGTATAACGGTCATAGTTGACCACACTACTTTACAGCGAATACCCATTGTGGAAACTCAAGGGCAACATATTATTCAAGTAAACAATTGCTACTGAGAATCGCGTGAGAATTGGGACACCCAGCGATACCACCTTGTTATGATCAGACATGAACCGAGCGTATTCTTCTGATTTTTTTAAGATGAAACTGTTGCATGTGTCAACCTTCTATCAAAAGACGTCCGATAATGAAAAGAAAGAGGAACCTAATATCCATAAGTCAGGGTTCACGTTCAGAGCTTTTCTGTTCTACTCCAAATGATCTTAGGCATACATCATACGCATCATCATCATACGCATTTCGCCAAAACTCACGTAAAGTTAGTGAAGCCGACAAACGTAAACTTACCAGTATACAGTGCACGAATTAGTAGCCAGCGGCGCTTCTGTCTCGATGGCCTGTTGGTTTGTACTCAAGCCATCACATCACACCGAGTTATCAAATGGTCAATAAAGCATTAGGTAAACACATCAGCCTTTAATGATGCCCTTCTGGTAACGGAGCCCAACAATCTTTACGACTAATCCAATGCTACAAGACAAAGAACCGCAACAAAGCTTATCGAACAACAGGCCCCGAATAACCTCAACAAGGATTCAAGGAAATATGCAACACATTTGCGATCTTATTTTTCCTTTCCTCTCTTTTACAAGCATATTACACCTCCCATAGGGATGTACCGGCAAAAGACACTACGTTTCTGCTCGAGAGAGGGTTTGTTTTCTTGAGAAGGGAAGGAAATATGAAGCACCTCATATTCTTGATTTTTAACGTTCTTGAGAGTAGAAAAAACTTTGACAGCGTGTGCTGGTATTCAGTACGCTGGATACAGGATCTATGTAAGGCGGCTATTGTAACTAATAAATGAACATAAGGTTGACGGAAACTGGAGGACTGCACCTGCCTGACGATCCCTAAGAAGGACGAAACAGGTCGTGGGCTGTCAAAGAGTTTTCAGCAACTTTGCGAGTAATTTCACTCACAGATGTAACAAAGTGCCTCGCCCTGAATTTCACTATCGAGTACTGGTGATCGTGCCTTGGACCCAAGTCAGTTAGTTTCGCATTGGTCTTTAACGAAAGACGGACGCAACGTCAGTGGAATCAGTCTCGATGGAAAACGTATGCAACACTGACCACCTCATCCTACGTGTTTTGAAGGTCAAAATGTGTCAACCGGATAGCGCTTCTACACAAATGGCATCAGCCGACAAAATTCTTAAGGATGACCTCTATAAGCCAGGAAGTCCGGTAACTATCTTCTGATTAAGAGATTGGTGTATTTTAGGCTTTTGAAGCTGCTGGATGTAACAAGTCTATCTCAATTCATGTAGATCGAAATTCGGAAGATCATATTTCGCCGTATGGCTCGGATACACTCATCAAATGGATATAATCCAAATTTCACATCCAGTTAGCGACAGTTCGACGGGGGCGCAGAAACGGGAGTTGCATGACTCTACAAAGCTATTGAGAAACATAACTAAACCGTAGCACATAATCCATTCAGCTAGTCTCATGAACCATTGAATATATAAAACAAGCCGGAGGATGGATTCGTTGAATATGCAGTCATAAGTACACGCACAAATAGCTGCAGATACTACATAATCAGAAAAGAATGCAAAATAAAAAAAACGCCCATGATGAAAAGCACGTGGAAATTGTGATATTCTCAGCCCAGAGAAGTTAGTGTGATGGAGAAGTGGGTGAGTCACCGGAAAAGGGCTTCAGTTGATCGATCTAGCGTGAACAACCGATTGGGACGAATTACAAAAAATCAGGCTGTAAGACAAAAAGAAACCGTGTGTGAATGTGTCTGTGCGTGCGTGTTCAGACGCATGCGTACGCATGCGGAAGAGTGGTTGAAAGTTACCATGTAGGTTTGTAGTGAGGTTAGTAAACTTTGAAAGAAAGCCGCACAGAAGTGGGAAAAACGCATCACCCGTCAATCTTCCTCCACGGTCAAGATTTAGAAGTGAATGGTGAATCGGAGGTTATACACATGAGTAGAGGCGGCAGGTTAATCGGGCATGTAACAGAAGAGTGGTTATATTGTAAATGCAACGTTCTCTTTCACTGACGACTAGGAAGATTGGCGCGGCTGAACAAGTGAGAAAACAAAAGGCGCTTTCGAATCCTCATCCGAGAACATTTATGGGGTTCGGAGGATGTGTTGAGATGAGGCGAAGCCAGGAGAACAGATGAACTGAATGGGATTGGCAGACGGAAACCGACACAAGGAAGCAGTAGGTTGGCAGACAGGCGATAGGGAGTTGAAAGCCCTTGGGCTGTCGTGTTGGACTGACGACAGCTCCAAAAGATCTGAGTGAATGTGCGACGGTAGCCGCTGTCGGGTGGTTAGATCTGACTAAACGAACCCTGAAGTCGGAGATACTGAAATATAGGGACGAAACAAAGTTTCTGGCATTTAATCAGGCAGGGCACGATAGAGAACACATAGGACGAACTGGTGTTAACAAAGTCAGTCATTAAAATAACCTCCCTGCAGCTAATGTTTCAAAAATAGATAGAGTTCCGTAAATACCTGACTGGTTGGAGGACGCAGCACACTCTCACAGTCAACTTCTAAACCGAAAAACATGAGCTGAGTCGACAGACAAAGGAACTCCACCTGAATGCCGTCCTTTTCAGCTTTTTGGATATAAGCTTCTTCAGGTACCCAGAAAAGCACTGTTTGATGAACCAATACATTTGGTGCCCCTCGATTTCAATTAGAGGCCTAAGCAATTCTATTTTCGAAATCAGTGTAGACGGAGCTACAGCGTAATGGTCCAGAAACCACTCCCTCACGAAGAGACTGGATCTTACTGTGGTATGTGTAACTCCACGACCCATTGAGCTATACTGGGTGGTGTACGTGCGATACTCACAAAGTCTCTCATACCAGGTTAGACGATAGTTACAGTTCTGAGCAAAAAGGTTTCCTGGCCCTCCAGGTTGGGGTTCAGAAGAGGTGTGGCCACTTGTTTGATGTAAACGGTAATCCACTTACATATCTGGCTAAACACAGCTGCCTTGTGGTCTTGCTGTTGAGCCAAAGACATCGGTCGAGGAGACGAATCTGTCTAAGACTGGGCACTCTGGCAGTAGCTCAGCCCACATACAACCATGACACTTACAACTAACAATACTCTTATGCCACATCATACGTCGCATGGTGTCGCCAGTCAGATCAACTGACTTGCTGCACACAGCAAGGTGGGTAAGCGAAAACATTCTACTTCTGGCACCTCCCTTCAATTTTCAATTATTCCCTCTTCTACCCTACCTCACCCAAATGTGCATAACCTCTTTACAGGTCCCAGCACTAGAGCTGACCGTTTTCCTCGCCGTGTATCACACTCAAATACAGCTTCTCTGCCTCCGACTGCAGCAGCAGCCCTAAACACTTCGAAATTTCTTTCCAAACTTCAAAAGTCGGTCTACTTAGCTGCCTTTAATGTTCGCACACTGAAACAAGCAGGACAACAGGTCGCTCTCACTCGTATGCTGGATTCTCTATGTACTGATGTATGCTGTCCGCCAGAAACAAGCATACAGGACCAAGCACTGTGATTGAAATGACTGCCACCTCGCTCTCTTCCCGGTTCCGGCTGCGAACCTCTGGTGGTGCAGATGCCGCTGCAGCTGGATATGCTGGAGTGGGTACTGCATTGAGCGAACGAGTGGGAGAGTTCCTACTTCATTGGATGCCCGTTGACAGTAGCCTATGCTCGGTCTGTTTGGCAGCCTGAGAGAAACTCGAGAAAGTGGGGTTCATCGCATCCTGTTTATTGTGTCTGCTTACGCCTCAACGGATTGTATCTCTGGATCTGCAAAAGACAGTTTATATGGCGATCCGGATGCTCTTTTATGACGGGTTAACAGCTCAGATATTGTTGTGGTTACTGGTGAAATGAACACTTAGATAGGTAGACTAAGGCTGCTGAGGCCCGATTGTGTAGTCGCCTGGGATTGATAACGAGACGCACGGACAACGGAGGTCACCTGCTTCAGATGTGTGCCGATCACAGACCGTTCCTCTGCAGTACTAATTTCCCGAACAGCAGAAATCGATTGACAACGTGGTGCTCACCAATGAAAGAGTCCAGAATCCGAATGGATCACATCGCCATCAGTTATCGGTTTATGTAGTAACCATAGGGGTGTCAGTTTGACGTTTGTTGCAACAAGGCTTCTGACGTCACTGATTCCTCACCATATTATGGGGTACGCGAAATCTTGACTTGTCAGAATCAAACCGGATTTCTACAGGGTAGATGCTGCGTCGACCAAAACTTCACACTCCCTCGGGTGTTAGAGCAACGCCATATGTACAAACAACCCACAATCTTGATGCGTTCGATTCTGTCGATCGGTCGGTACTGTTAACTACACTTGCTCAACAGGGTATGCTCCAGAAGTTTGTCAACATAATCCGATCCCTATATTCACATGCCTCCGGGCGTGAGAGTGCACGATGAGCTCTTCAAAAATTTCCTACAAAAAATGGTGTTCGACAAGGATGTTCACTCTCTCCGTTCTTGTTCAACTTCGTCGTTCATGGAATACTGAGGCGAAAGTCTCCAAAACTCCGGTGTTCACATTGTTGCTGATGAGAATATTATCGACCTGGAGTACTCAGACGAAATCGCCCTCGTTTTTGAAAACGAAAGTACTCCTTCAACCAAGCTCACCACCGTCATACCATCTGTCGGCTTGCGCCTAGCACCTTCAAAATGCAAAGTCATGGTTCATAACGTACAGTCTCTAAACAAACCCTTTACAATTCATAGAGAATCACTGAAGGCCCTGGGGAATTTTACATATGTCGGTAGTTGTATTAGCTCTGACGGAAGTGTGTCTGATGAAGTCGGTGCAAGAATCTCACAGGCTCGAGCTACGTTTGCGTCACTCGTGGCGTTGAGGTGTTTCACTGTGCCTTAAAGGTGGCGTGTATCAGGCTACAGTAATGGCTGTGTTATTGTATGTGTGCGAGAGGTAGCATGCGCAAGCAGGTGAAGTGAAACGCCTTCAGGTTTCGGAGGCGTCAACGGATTAGTAACGAGGTGATTACAAAACGGGTATTTGGTTGTGTAGCAGGTATTTCAATCACAAAAGACATCTAGCAACATCGACTAATGGCTAAGCCATGTCCTAGGCATTCCGAAAAACTGCCGACCGAGATGAATGCTGTTTTCCGTGCCTCCTTCAGAATGGCGCAAACGTATGAATTGGCAGAGGGGCGTGAAAGAGATTACAAAGAGTTTGGGTGCTATCGGTGTTGTACGCCTTCCAGGATGGGGTCCGTGTGACCCCGCTTGCGCTTGCAATAAATGGCGGGAGATCGATACTAGTGGCGTTCGTACTGTCAGATACGTCGGCTCCTCAGTCGCGAATGTATTGACCAAAATAGTAGACTGTAGTAAACTGCCGACACCAAGCTTCGCTTCGAATTACTAAGCTTTGGGGAAATGTTTAGGGTAGAACTGCAGCTTCGTTATTGACCATAGATGTCAGCAAATACTTTGTCCAGGCAACCAGTGTCCTGGTTGCGGTTGTTCAACGTACACCAACATTAAGTAAGAACACACGTGTGGTGGACTCCGTCTCGACAAACACATTAAATGAGCAGATGCTGGTTGAGTTTGAGAAAGCATTCCCAGACGGAAACAATCCAGGAGTAACAACAAAACCGAACATAGTTGGGGATTGGTGCTTTTTAGGTAGGATAGCTTTGGATCGCCGCACGAGCGAAGACCCATACAAATACCTCGATCTTCCGTGATAATGTCATCAAAAACTGGAGGTAGGCCGTGACTCATACCTCCAAAAAGTGTTGCTCTTATCATTAATAAAATAGACATCGTTGCAAGTAATACCGTATCAGGTACAACATAGACTACTGCCCTATAGACACGTCAGGTCTGAGAAAACCGCCTGAAATGGTGCAACAGAAATGATGCTAAGACAGTCTGGATGTTTGCCTACTGAATTCCTATTAGAATCGATGTCGAGGCTGTGTTTATGGACGTTCGGAGTCTAATCACTGCCTTCACCTGTCAATGGCTATGATGACCTACACTCAGTTTGTGACGAGGCTCGATCAACAACTTTAACGCGTGTCTCAATTTAGCAGCATATCGTTCCGGTATCTAAAGGCTACTTCCATCGTGTAGCAGCTAGAAGAGAAAAATAAACTCTCAAAGAATGACTACTTTTACTGATACATTCATTTGAATACCAGTTTGGTTTCGACGGTACACTCAGCGGCCTTGTGAGTAGTCTGTTACGTCTATAAAGCAACTAGTTCTGTTCTTGTATACACACAACATTTTAAAAGCTCTCGCGTGCTGGTGTGGTGAGTCCGGACCCACAAAATTCGACACTGTCACATAGCGAACACCAGATTCTGCTTACAGACAGTATTAACGGGCGCTATCCATAAAAATCACATCATTTAGCGACATAGGGTTTAATGATTAGCACTAGGACGACACACTGACCAATCTGATAGTAACGCTTCATCGGAACTATTTAGAATTCTACAGGAAAATTTAGTAATTAGGCAGCCTTCGTCCGACTGGGCTCTCTTTACGCTCCTTGATTTTATTCCCATATGCACAATAGTTAACCATAAGTATTCTGAATTAATCCAGTACGGTCGCGAGAAAAGTACCAAGAGCAAACCTAGGTGGATGGCAGGCAACTGCAAACGGTACTGGTGACGAAATATATGAAGACCATATGCACTGATGCTCCATGCTGGTCCTTGCAGCGGGAATCACGCAAGGGAATGTAGCTACAGGGGTATTTTTGGGAGCAAGGAGGGACACACTAAAGGTACCAATTCTAGGCTAAATCTCACCGGTATATACTGAAGTGGTATATCAGTTGGAGGGCTCTATTGCGAGGATATTATCACATTTTTCTAAACTAATGGATACGCTTGATCTGAACGCTCAATAGATGGGGAAATTTCAACATAAGGGCTTCAGGCAACTGATTGGAGGGGCTATTACCAGATGACACTGTCAGCCACATTTGTCAGTTTACAAAGCTAGATAAACAGTTCACTTAAAGACTGGCAAAACACAACCCTCAGTATGTTTAAAACAACTCGCGAAAGGACAAACCTGAATCACAAGTGATGGTCCGCCGGCCGTAACTTCTACAGGGATTTGGGATAAAGGGCAGTTCTCGATGGACATAATTTGTAGACTGAAGCACATGCCCAGTTCGGTCGGCAAATCGTTCAAGTTGGGATTGTCGTTCAGATACAATGTTTCTAGCTTATGAAGGTCTCCTGTGAAAGAGAGGCAATGACAGGAACTGTAAGAAATGGTAGGTATCGTTACCAGCTTGAAACAACTGAAAGATATTTCCACGTGATATTGTGCCGTGGGCATACAGCATTCAAAAAGGGAAATAGGAGATTCACTTAATTATGACCACGGTTGATCGAAGTAGACTCCCACCCTTAGTCCGACCAGCATTGTCGTGTTCACCTTTGTACCGACTGGGTATTACTCAATTTTCAGCTTTCTTGATCCATATGTGCTGTGAATAATAGTCATGCTGGCTGGCCTGACGCAGAAAGTCGCCTGGTGTACCGGTTTAGACCGATTATTGGTTCACTTCCCTGTTCACACACGAAAAACAATCTGATTCGTATGATGACTTAGTCTACAGACTTTATTGTGGTTGACTTCTGTGGGAAAATAAGTCGGCTGTCGAGGCTCGACGACCGGTAAAAACGGCGAATAACTATTGTTCCCGTTATCAAACACTGTAGACACTCTGGACACCCGCCACTTATTGGCAGCAATGTGAAACTCGAGACGAGTTTGGATTCATGATGTTCTTCGCAAGTTCGCTATCCAATATACATGATACGTATTCTAACCATTTCATCATTGTAGGTTAATTCGAACTTGATGCTGACCCAACCACTATTCCTCAGTAAACCGAAAAGCATACTATGCGTCTGGACTCGCTCATATGGTTGACTCATCCAGCTCGGCTAATGAAGTAGACAGTTAACACGGTATGTAGGAGCGTTACAAGAACTTCCATCTTGAGGGATAACACAAATCCCCCCAGAGGACAAATGTACACTTCAGCAGAGATGAGTAAACTTATAAAGATGATGCTGAACAAGGAATTCAGCTATCCATGTCACATCTATGACCACTATAGATGAGGTAATGAAGCCATTTGTTATTTATTTAGAGACCACTTATATTAGTTGAACAACTGAAATCCTGTTGATTAACGGGCGACTCAAAACGATACGGTCATGGGGAGGAACGAACTGAGTGGTTCGTGTGTTAATTTCTCTTACACTCCTGCCCCTTCGTCGCTATGGCATCCAAAAATTCCCAAACCGCCAACTTCTGTTCTCTGTAGTATGGTAAGTCCACATATTGTACTAATCCAGTTACTAGACACTGTGTTACTAATAATTCGAATCGACATAGTGTTGTTGCAGTTCATACTCCAAACACAATTCAACTTGCGCACCGCTCCTTCGAAAAGAACAGCAACCATGTATTATTTTTAACACTGCCAAGCGCTGAGCAACAGTTTCTTCCCAACAAATATATCAATGCATTAAAACAACATCAACAAGGATGGTGAACTGGATGTCCAAAGTATAAGAAATATGTGATGACAATCCAGTTCAGCCAACCCCACATTACATGTCGGTATATTCTGCTGTTCGTCCAAAGCCTTGATAGAAGTTTTGCTATATGTATGAGAGTAAAATACAAACAGCACACACGAGAATGAACACACAGTTCCATGATTTTGACCTTTTATCAGCTTTTCTTCGTGATATATATATATATATATATATATATATATAAAGACACTGCTTCTAGGCTTGGGCAACCTGGCAGTATCCCAGCTTTAGTGCTTCCTTCAGGTGAAATGGCACCGAAACAGTGCTACAGCTGAACGATTTTTTTTAAGAAAGGGGCACCAAGAAGGTCCAACCAAGTGGAAAAATCTAACAATCGTGTAGCTGATGTTCAAGATCTTGGACCAAGCAAAACCGGTAGCTGATGATTTTGTAGACCAAAGACTACTCCAGGACTTGATGTACCTAGCAAACTGATATGAAGTCAAATCTCCAAAGTCCCGCCCGTGCACAGCAGGGGCTACTGAAAAGTAATAAGCTTCCTCAGTGATAGACCTAAACCCACACCCACAATTGGAAATGTTAGTGGTTCACCCTACACATCCCTCCCCGTATGGCGACGACCAGCAATTGTAAACAGAGTATGGGATTTTAACAGTTTTAACTGCCTCCACTCGCCGCTTGGTATGTATACACATTACAGTGATATTCACAAAGAGGGTTTTTTCAAAGAGATTCCACTCCTACGGAGAGCGCACATCAGCAAGCTATCTTCCCTAACAATGAACGGCTCCAGATAAGACCTTTCTCTCTTGACGGGTGTCGTAACAGGTCGATGAGGCAGTCACAATGAGAAGTTGTCAGGTGACTAAAATCGACGTGAGCAGGTTGGGGAAAATCTTGAATAGGAAACGATAAGAGAACCATAGTCGACTAGAGCATATTGGAAGAGTGCGATACCAGCTAAGCTACCTCGGACGCTGCCCCATGTAACACATACGTATGAACCCGACATCAATTTTTGAAACTTCCCCTAATGGATTGACAGAACGCATTGAGCGCACCTGACCTGTGTAATAAATCCAAAATTCCTTGGTAGTGCACCACTTTGACAGTAAGCAGCGTTTGTCAACGTAGCTGAAGGGAAGAACTTTTGTCAGTACAGTTCACGCAAATCCCCCTACATCCCCCGTCACAAGGTACAGCAACAGTCAAACAACTGCTACAATTAGCCACATTTTTAATCGTTCAGCTGTAACGCCCTTTCGGTACCTAGCTGCCATGTAACCCGAAGGAAGCACGAGGGCTGAGATACTGGCAGGTTGCCCAAGCCTAGACAGGGGAAGTCGGTGAACGAAACTGCGGCAGCTGCAACTACTGTACGACGAATACGCGGTTATTACAGCTGACAATGATGATGATGATGGTTGGGTTCGAACCACGGACTATCCAGTCAGTGAATTCATGCTCTAACCACCTGAGCAATCTCGCCCCACAATTAGCCACAAACTAATGACGATGGTGCAAAAGAAATGCACTACTCATAAGGTTGCTGAAAACACAGCCGGCCACGACCAGTTTCTACTTTCTAAGGGCTCATCAGGTATGTGCAGTCCCCGAGTTTCCCTTAACCCTATGTCCTACAGATCTCAATAAATACACTCATTTGAATATCAACGGGAACCCAGCTGACTCTCTTGTTCATGATTTTCTTAAGCAACTCCATGGGCTGTACAAGTTGCAGTTGGTATGACATTCGAGATGTCGTGATACATTGTATAGATGTAATGCACTACTCATAAGGAAATCATGAAAGATGCAGATGGGTTCCAGGTGAGTCTCGCATCAAAACCAAATTGGTATGTAAATGGATGTATTTCCATAATGACAATATTGTTGTGAAGGAACTTACCAATCTCCGGAGGCAAACGCTGCAGATCGTTCTCACCAACAGCGAGGTGGATCAAACTTTGAAGCATGCTGCGAATGGTAGGAAACAAATTGTAGAAGCATACACCCTGTCATGTGGTGATGAAAGCTACAAAAAAAATAAAACCCAATAAATACTGAGAACCGATACGGGAAAGTCAGTCCTTCCTAATAACTGTCGTAAGCAAATCGGTCCCTCGAGCGAACCAACTTTCAAATTCCAAATCTTAATACCACACCTTAAGAATGCATCCCAGGGGCGAACTGCCTGGGATTCGGCGATCGCCAATGAGGGAAGCTGATTCCATTGATCTTACTGCAATCTGAGCCGTGGGACAACGATTTTCAAATCTTTGTAACTCGTTAATCGACGCTTTGTTAGTGAGAGGCATACCGGCTGAGGCAGAATAAACAGCCCAACATAAAATCACACCAGGTCACTGGTTCCGCTGCTAAGCTGCGTGCAGTTAAGCGAATTCCCGATGGTGTGGTTAAAAACACAATAAAAAGACTTCCTGAGACATCTATTGACGTTGATTGGGAGCTCTTACAGCTCGTCTAGTCAATCAGCGGATTAGAGATGAAGGAACGTGGCAACGATGCTGTGCTAGGCACTGTGTGTGCTGACAGGCACTGCATTCTGTAGGAACATCGCTAACGCACCCGATGTGTCATGGGGAAAGAAGTGGCTGCCCGTGGCATGATTTTCAGGCTAGACTGTTTTCCTCCCGGGTGGTGAATCTCTGAGCCGAACAAACCTCGATTGCTCCTAGGGAAGAATACTATACAGAAAACGCTCCATCATTTGAGTTTACCATCTTGAAGAGCCGGACTGAAACATATTCGAACACGGACCGGTAGATGGTTATTAGATAAACCCACCATAAGGTGTAATCATCTTGAATTCAGTGACGGCAAAAGAATCAACTAAAATTTCCTACCGAAACGTTCACTTTAAACAATAGTAGTATACGGTAGTGATCCTACACTAAAACTAAGCTATTTCCCATGAACGTACTAAACCAGCCAGAGCGACAACCGTTCTGCCTACATGATGTTTTGCGAGTGGTTGGATAAATTTGATGTGAAAAGTGGGAACGGAAAACACTGAACAGATTAATCGATCTATGCGTGCAATCCACTTTATTAGATGGGGTTCAAGACTCCCTCGAGGTAAGTGACTGGTGCTGCAATCCATAATTTCTCGTTGAAACTAAGTGGTACTACAATTATAGGAGAAAACCTATTCACTTGTGGTGCCGGTTGGTGCATATTCGCCATATTCGCTGTAGAAATACGGAGTTCGGGATATCATCACGTTGCCCAGAAATGAATTGTTCAGTCACTAGCTCATTGAGTTATCTATCTCAAGCTGAGGGGCGGATTCTGGTCGTCGAAATAGGAAGAAATGGGCCTGAGAGATACACGGGATGCCACCAGCAAGGGGAGCATTACCATCTTAAAAAGACATTAAATTTGTTGTAGGAACCTGACTTAAAATCTGATAAAAAGGTTTAGAAAAGTGAAATTACCCGTGAAAAGTTATGCGGGCTTTAGTGAGATTGACCTAACCCCGGTAAGTTAGTGGACATTCATTAGAGTAACCAATATCGGAATAATAAGATTGAATAATACATGTGTGGATACGGCGTAAAGGGACGAAAATGGAGTTCCTCAGTAGATTATTGGAAGGGAAGGGAAGTTCAGTTCACACGAGCTTCCATCTACCATGTGAACAAATACCAGACAAAAATGGAATAGATGCATACAATGGGGTAGCGGGTAAATCACGGATGGTCAGAGGAGATAAAATTCCGTTTCAGGCCGTCTGTAGTATGATCGTAACAGTATCAAAAATCACACTGGTATAAAGTTGGTACCGAAAGTCGTCCTGCGGAAACACGGCATGCTCACACATTCGAGTTTCAAATGGAAAGTTACTCGGATCAGATAATACGTTCTGTATTTGGTTTGTGTCGTCAAGGCAGGTCCACTAAAATGGGAGATCGAATATATTAACCGAATACAAATAGTAAGCGGTATGAGTGGCTTTTTAGGGCATATGACCTTAAAAGATAACTTAACCATCAGTGCAACAAGCTAACCTAAATGTCTGACTGATCTCCTGAGGTCATAACAACGAAAGACGGCGCGCGAAGCTCGTACGGGACCAACAAACATAATGTTAATTGATTACCTGTATTCTCATTTGTGTAGACACCAGGAATCACGTGTTTAAATACAGGAAAGTGAACATGCCACCAGCTAGGTTCTACATAATTTCAGTAACTTGTGGCCTAGATTCCCGGTTAGAAACTGGTCTTCGTTTCTAGTATGGGTGCATTTGAGTACAAAACACATACTCACTCTTCCAGGCAAAAGTTCAGTCCTCAAAAGAAATAACATTATTATACAGTGTACATTTTTCTCCGAATGGCACACCACGAATATTTGAGCCGGTATGTCGTGGACGGAATATTGTTGCCTTATTCTCAAGACTACTTGACACGTGCGCATGATGACATTGCTCAATGAGGTTCATTTGTAATTGAGGCCGTCGGAGAAACATAGGTTTTGGTGTGTTTAGCATTGGTACTGATCAGTAGACGGCACCAGCAACCTGCACACCAGTGTTTCGTACAACGAGAACGGATCGCCAAATCTGCGGGAAAATACTATTGGTTAAGCTAGGCATGGACAATGACTACCGGTAATAGTGAGGTCCCAGATGTGGTGTAGTATCCAAAAGAGTCTACATAAATTATAGTTGCGGTATATTCAGTGAAGAAAATACACGGAAATGATGGTAAGTAGATGATGGAAAGTTCAAACTCACCCTATGGTGCGAGGTAATTCAGTCAACCGATTAGATTGTACAATAAGGCGCTGAAGCTCACACAACTGGCCTGGATTCAGAAGAGGGATAAAGTGAAGTGAACAGAGTCAAGTGAAGACAACCTAGCGCCATGAAGTTTCTAACACAGTTTTATCCCAGCAACGAAAAAATGGGTAAAGACTGGAAACTCCAGTCACGAAATAACCAGACAGCAATCAATTGATGTTGTGTCAGAATAGTTACTTCATCAAAATTACCAAAGGACCGTCTCAGTTCATCGTGACCGGTGTCACTGAGTGGATGAGATCTAACCATTTTGGTAAAAAAAAACAGAAGAAAATAACCACTTCCATTGCGAACGTTGCACATGTGCAACAGAAGAAAAAACCACTTCCATTGCGAACGTTGCACATGTGCAAGAGATCATCACAGCCCCAACACTCACGAATGTCTGACCAGTAGTGCCCGGGGGAACTCGATCGACCATTGCGCTGGGACAATCATCTGCTACGTGTGTCTGAAGTTCACTTAGCTGGACCAGTTTTATGTCCTCTGTCAAGTTAGGACGGGATGAATCCATAGAGTGTGCAGGTTACGATGTGCCGAAGATATAAAAGATTTAACTGGTGGTCCCACTAATGTCGGTTAATGTCACCTGCCAGAGTAAGCAGCCAAAGATGCAGTCAAAGAATTCATGGAAGCCACCGGTATACCCAAATCATGAGACAAGTGTTGCCCCCGTACACCCTCGACAGCCTTTGCGCTTCAAATACACTTGCATCGTGTGGTGTCTAACAAATTATCCGTAATTCCTTATCACTTTAGTTTTCCTTTCGGCGGCTGCTAAGCCACTGTACTCACGTACATGAATTATGGTTGGAGGAGTGAATCAGACTAGATATATCACATATTTGTGCCTGGCAAACGATCTGTTTCATTGTTTGTGCTGTTGGTATTGGTATAGCCTGAGAACACTTACCTATCTCCAGTGGCAGACACTCCAAGTGATTTTCCTCCAGATCTAGCAACTGAAGTTTCTTCAATTCTTGGATGGTGGGAGGTATCCTCTGAAGAAAGAGAACACGAGTACAGACATCATTTGTCAATCCACTATTCCGATGGGGTAATAGTAAGAAGAAACAAGAAACAACGCGCTTATCTGGTTTGTCACTTCATGCTCCTGGGTTGCATTGATGAGTGTTTCCAAACAACTAAGTGCAACCAGTAATGGCAACGAAGACTGAATGCCGACATTAGTATTTTGTGTCTGTAGTGCACGTGCGACAATAGCTATCAGGCAGGCGCAGTCTCCGAGTTTCCGTCCAACAAATACTCCGATTTACACACCAATTCGGTTTTGGTGGGAAACTTAATTGTCAGCGAGCTTTCAACAACCTATGAGTGCTCTGTTACGTTTGCATAATGTACTGCGACATCTCGCAGATCGTACATTTTGGATGTTCACGACAGGTTCTTGCAAATATGAAGATCAATAAGATTGAGCGCACAAGACTATCCAAATCAACCGACCAGAAAATAATAGACTCGTGTACATGCTGTCTGTACTTCTTGCACCATATCTTATGTGAAGTTACCAATTACGGAGAATATTTCTGGTCATTGTCTGAATACTGGCTTGAACATTTCGATCTGGTGCCGCCTGGAATCCCCAAGTTCAATTTCAGCTTCACCATAGGTGAATTGATTTGTTTATTCGAATGATTAACAACATATGGACTTCCCCATATGCAAAGCCCTTGTCCGGACATACGGTCATATTTGACCTGTTGTCGTGATCGACTTTTTCTGATAGTTTTAGTGTTATGTAGGTGAGGTAGCTCGAGTTCATTCGAGGAAAAACGCAATGAAAAGGCCACAGTAGTTACCTTTAGTTGGTTGTTGCTGAGAATCAATACTTCCAGATTGACCAGGTGTTCGACATCATCAGGCAGTTTGGTTAGCTGATTGGTGCCTAGATTCAATTCAACCAATACCTCCCAACTCTTAATGTCTGTAGGATCAAAAAGGGAAACAGTGATCGTTAAATCAAAACGTACAGTTAAATGAGTAAATGAAACATCGATCTGATGCCACGAGTGTGCATCGGTCAAGTGAAAGGATGACAATTGGGATGAAGTTCCTCGCGCTACGCAAGGGTTAGCCCACGGGTATTATTCACAGCCAGTGTCAGACCTTGTCATGTTACGGCCACGTTCATTCTCTTTCACATGCTTTTTCTTCATCCTCCTCCACCACCTAAAAACTCTCCATTTAGACCCGTCAGTTAGGACTGAAGAATCCGTTCGTCCTACATCGGTTTCGACAGCAACATCTGCGCATCATCCGGGGGTCGACATCGCCGGGAAGCTGGGGATCAAATTTCAAGCCTAAACACCCAGTCTATCTGGCTGCATTTAACGTTCACACTGTGAAGCAAGCGGTACAACGAACTGCTCCTCCTCTCACGCTAGATTTGCCTGATATTAATGTGATATGTATCAGAAATAAGAATTCCAGGTGCAACCAGTAGTTGAACTATCTGTCCCATCACTCTCCACTCACTTCCGACAGCGGCAGGATTTTCAGGGGTTAGTGTCGTCACCAGGCGAAGAGAATGGATATCCGTTGATAGTCGCCTGTGTGTGGTTCGTCTGGCAAAGTCTGTAAAGGAGTTTCACTAGCGGAAAGTTGATCAATGTCTGTTTGTCATGTCTGCTTATGCTCCAACTGACTGCAGCTCTGAAACCATCAGAGACAAGTTTTACGACGCCATGAATGACCCGATGTTGCGAGCTAAAAGCTCAGGCATCAATGTGGTCGCCGGAAATCTGGATGCACAAGTGGGCATGCTTAGCGCACCTGGTGATCGACATGGATCTTACGCGATACGTGAGGACATTGATAGACGATTGCTTAACTACTGACTGCAGGCTGTTTTCATGCAGTACTAACTTCCGAAATAGCCAAATTCATGTGGTCACATGGTGTCCTGTAACAGCGTGCCAGTTAAGAACTCAAACAGATCACACTGCCATCAGTTGTCGGTGGCGGATCAGTAACTGCTACCGCTCATTTTACAACACATCTGTAGATTCCGACTACGCGCACGTCCGGAGCTGCTTCTACCTTCGTTTTCCAGGGCCACGTAAGGTGCGGAACTGAGAGACTGGCAGATCCGGTTGCTGGGTGTATTTACCGAATGCTCCACCATGAGATGTAAATTCATGCTGGAGCGAGATCGCCACCTCTCTTCACAGTACCGGGACTTTTGACTGAGGCACGGTGCTAATAGGTCTGCTCAAGCACTGGATATCAGAACGAACAGTACCACCAATTGAGTCTCTGATGAATGTCCCCACCGATCCTGAACATACTTTTAACCAACGATCTACCGGACGTCAAATGAAGGCGAGCGTGCTCGCATAACATAGAGCCTCGTGGACCTGATAGACTAGGGAAATCAACAAGGACCAAAAAGCCGGGAATACCCGAAGATCCCTTCAGTTGACCGGTCCTCAGTCAACACCTGTGAGCGAAACCACCAAGGATGAGAATGGAGTGACCATAGTGAATAAACAAGAACGCCTCGATTGCTGGTCACCCACTGCCAGTCACCTGTGGCCTACAACCGAAGTAGAATCCTGGACAATAAACCTAGGACTTCCTACGACTTCGGAAGTTTATGACTGCATATGTTCTATCAAGCGCCACCAAGCTTCCTGTCCGAATGACCTCCCACCTGTATTGTCCAAAGATGTGAGTGAATTCCTCAGTCAGTGCTTGTCAGATATGTTCGCCGGTAACTGGCAGAAGGAGACTGTCCCAGACAACTAGGGAGAGTAGTTGATGGTGCCCAGTTTCAAAAAAGGGCATCGAGGTGAGTGTGGCAACCACAGGGGGATCGGTTTGACACAATCTGTAACCCCGTGCGTCACTTGTGCTTCGTCGCCTCATGGTGGCTCGTGGAACACTGAATCGGGAGCAACAGGCAGGATTCCAGCCTGGTAGAAAATTGCGTTGACCAAATTTTTACACTCTGTCAGGCGCCAGAACAGCATCGTACGTATAAACGACCCATAATTTTGGTAGTCCTAGACTTTTAAGGCGTATTCGATCCAGTCAAATGGTCTGTTTTTCTGAGCAAGCTTGTAAATCAAGGAATAAACCGGGGGATTGTGAACATACTGAGTTTTTTGTATTCTAAGATTTCCGGGAGTGTGAGAATATAACTCTCCAAACGCATCCGTACACATTGTTGTCTACTCTCTCAATTCCTAGTTGATTTTGTGATCGACGAGATAATGAGATGAGCTCTGGAAGGTTTTCAAAACCCCGGTGTTTAAATAACCTTAGACGAGAACTTTGTCGATATCGTTCTCTTCTTTGAAGATAAAGCACTTTGCAGCCACAAACTGTAAGGTCATGCTCGTGGGCGTGCAGTCACTGAACACGTAACTTACAATTCAGGAAGAGGCTATCGAAGTTGTGGAGCGTTCTAATTATCTTGGAAGTTCTATTAGTCCTGCGTGTAGTGTGATAGATGAGGTAAATGGAAGAATGTCTAAGGCTTGTGTCATGTTTGCTAATTTGAGATACCTATGACGTCAAGACGGTATATCCCTGAATCAGGCTACGGTGAGAATCAGCTTGTTCGAACAGCAGAAGTGAGATGCCTTCAGGTTTTTGACAGAATCCCAAACAAGTCAGTTAGAAACCGAGTATTCGGTTGTGCTACGGAGACTTTCACCGAAGAATGTATCCACCACCACAAGCTGCATTGGTTAGCCCATGTAATGCATATGTCGAACCATTGTTTGTCAAAAAGAGTGTTGTTTTCCATACCCAATTCAGAGGAACGGAAGCAGAGAAGAGGTCAATGCGTGACTTGGCAGCGGGATACGAAAGAAACCACGAAAAATCTAGGTGATGTCGGAGTGAGTAGCCTTCGAGGATGGGGACCGCATGATCCAAACTGCGTCTGATTAAAGACACTGTAAGATATGGCTGCTAATCGATGTCAGTGGCGTTCTTGTTGTCAGTTTCTATCCAGATCACCTGAATGAATATTTAGAAGTGTAGGCACCTCGGAACGATAGTGGTGAAATAGCACTAAGCCCCTTCCCCATCCATTTTTATTCTTTTATTCACAATTAGGCTTACAAATGAATCGTGGTTGCACGGTAGCAAATCATCAGTGTTGAACGCTGATGCTAGGCTGTCGATGATGATTCGTTCTTTACGAAGTAACGATGACCTTCTTACTAAAAATCACATGGCTATCTGCTACTTCGCGGGGCAGATTTCTAGTAACAAAAACACGAGAAACGAAGGCTGCTGACAAGCCAAAGTTTGTGATGCTATCAAAACATTGCAGTATGGTTACGGTATAGTGCGCTCTGAAGATGTGAAACTGCATTAGTTGACTGACATGGTCAGACTGCAATACCGTGCAAACACACTGATTCAAGCTATACTCTAAACGTGATTGTCTTAGCTGAACGACTGCCTGGTTAAGATCGGTTATCCAGCTACGCGGACACAGACAGAAGTCGTCTGGAAATTCGTTTCGTTTAATTTTCCCTACGCATAGCTATCGGATCCACTTCACATTTGATCACATTACTTGAACAGTGTATCATTGCCAGACCTTTGCAAACGCTTCTCAGACACAACATCCCAACAGGCACACAGCCACTCACAATGTTGATAGAACGTTGTCCGAAGGATGTAAGAGAGATTGAAGCTACAAACAATAACCTTACAAGGGAGAAGCATCTTCTGTGTGGACCATACTTGCACTGGAAATGAGGGCACGCATCAAAAGGGAACTGACATATGGATGTGAAGTGTGATAGGTTCACTTTGGGATGTCATTTAATAGTTGAAAATCGTGTGCTGTTTCTCATAACATTAATTCCAGAGGTAAAAGAGATGAGTGGATGCATCCACGATTCACGCAGAAACATTGTGCAGTTTTCGGATAAACAAACAGTCGGCAGTCCGTTTGTAACGAAAAAAAAGACTGCGTGAACTATCCATCACGAAACGCGAATTTCTGCAAGGTGTGAGGATATCTACTATTGGCGCGGTCTATAAAGAGGCTAACCTCCAAGCATCTAGCGACATAACTTAATATGGACAGTACTCTGTTCCTGTCATAAACATCCCGATCAAAACAAAAGAATAAAAGAATAAAATTGTTTAGAACCTAAAAGAAGACGGGTGAAAGGGCACTAAAACCACCATGAAGGCAAAATCCGTCTAACAGAATCCAACAAACCACTGCAATGGGCTTCATGACCAAACGGCTGTGTAGCTAGTTAGGGTTACTACATACCGGGCGGAAGCGAGGCCAACTGGTTATCCTTCATGTTCAGTTTAGCCAAATGGGATGCTCTTGAAAATATTCCAAATGGGATTTTCGATATTTGATTATGATCCATATTGAGAGACTGTGGTAACACGGGGAGGGAATAGGAAAACGATCCACTAGTCAGGATTAGATAAAACAAGATACCACATGTAAAGTCAAGAATTAGGCGATTTTTAGGCTGGTCCACATTCGAGTGAACAGTGGGTTGAATCAAAACAAAAAGAGCATATTAATGTGGTGGTGAAACACTCCTATCGACATACATGTTTTCAAATCCAAAATGTCTCCACTATACCTTCTCATCCTCTCACACGATAGACTTTCAGTAGGAATTCGAACAGCTGAATTACGTCATAGAACTTCAACATGTCATTGGAGCAGTTTAGATCCCACTGCACTGCCGCGGGTGTAAGGTAAAACCTTAAGCAACTGAGTGTCAAGGAGCTGATGTTCAACACGCGTGAAATCTCGTTCATGGTCTGGGAGGCATTCATAGGCTCGGGCACGCTATCGCACCATTTCAAAACAGACAACATAAAAGGGCATCTTAAGCCATAATCTGTGAGAACGTTGATATGTGGAAAGAGGGGTTCATTTTGTACCTTTTAACTCTGAAAGTCACATGCACCTGAACTATTCACAAACCGAAAAAACATATCAAGAAGGAGAAAACGATAAACCCGGAAGATTCTACAAAGCCTACCTGAATAGAGGTGAACTGTTGTGGACCGCCAGGGGGGAAAGCTCTAAAGTAATTTCTCGATACGACCAAGCTGGACAGTTTGCGTAAGTGGGCTAAGAGACCTTCCTGAAAAGGGAATGTATGAGCGGATGAATGCAAAAACGTTGTACTTCACTCAAAAATCTATCTATTACCAAGTTCAGGAACAAAGTCAGCATAACGACAGACAGGTTTCATTTGGGCAGCTAACCACTAGGAGCACTTAAGTGGTTAGCAGTTACTTACTAATAAATGAAACGAGGCATAGTTTTCTATCTAAGACACGCTCGCAATCATAATCGAAATCAGGTAACTATCAAATTGGACAGAAAAACATGGTTTGATCTCACAAAAACTGTCAGCCTAACTTGGTGAATTCGCAACAGCGGATAAATGTATGAGGCATGTGACAATGTGTTCTTTGGAACTTTTCAAATATACTGCAGGGAATTCAACCTCTGGATGCATAAGATATTCTGGACTTTGAACATATTCGGATGACGATTAAGGACCTGCATGCTGAGGAAACACCAGAAAAGAACACGTCTAGATTTTCAGTTGTGCTAGATGTAAATTCATGTGGTTTACTCAGATCGCACATCAATAAACCCTATCGGGTCACATTACCCTCGTTCGGCTACGAAACATACCGGTAACTGGACAATGTTGTTGCCTTCAATATTCAGTTCCAAAAGGTTATCACACTGAGCCATTGAAGCGGGAAGGCATTCGAGGTGATTGTATCTGGAAAAACACAAACGACATTACCATAATTAGGAGGGTGTAAAAAGTGGCAGGTAAAAATGAACGTTGCTTTTTCGATTCACTGGGTACATCCGTGAAAGGATCACGTGGGAATGTTTAACAAAACCATAGTGGGAAGCTCATTACACAATGCACTTTCAGGCCGTCAATATCCGAGTAGCTCGAAAGGTTGCAGAGCTTCCGAACATTGCTTTTGTTTTGGGTAAGTGACTGGCCTAGACACATCTAGCATTCCAGGAATGCTGAGTTAAAAAAGAACATTGAACGAATTCACGCCGTATAGGAACTGCCGAAAAGGCTGCAAACATTCACTAGGGTACAAGAAGTCGTCGGTGAATCCAAGAGTACCCCTATACAGAACACTGGTTTCCCACACCCTTAGAACAGAATATTTCAAGCCAGTGAAAGTGGAACTCGAAAAGATTACCACTGACGAAAAGGGGCGCAGTTGTCCGCTGCGCGGAAACCTACTTTGAGAATCGGAAAAATAACCAAACGATCGAGGAATAATCAATAAACGACCGAATACTTGTTTCTCTACCAAGGGTTGTGTCCTTCTGACATACGTGCACGGCAGTTGAGTGAAGTAGGAGTGAAAGTGCAATAGTTGCCTGATACCCCTTAAGCTTACAATAAGCCATTGTACAAGGTTTTGCTACAAACAAATTTTTAGCACAACTAATTACGCGGTCTGCTCCTCAACTGGGCATAATGGGCCTCGTACCAAATAGTTAGCGGGAACAACTGAGAACGAATGAGGACTGAAGAGAGCTGCGGAATGAAAATCGACATTAAAACGTCCGGATGAATGATAGTGAACCGAACAGTAAGCCTGTTCGAGATGAGTAATTGATCATATCTAGAGTTTTGTGATTCCAGAAAGAGACGCTTTGACTCAAAAACAAGCAGGTGGAGTCGGATCAAATTGATTCTCGCAACGACATTAACTCTTCCGTTAGAAAAACGACACATAAATTCAACAAACTAACAACTTAGGAAGACCAAATGGTTTAAAACCCCGAAAACTTTGGTCCTCAAGGACAGGATAGTCGGCGATGTACTACACTTCAGAGGACCTGAATAGCCAAATGCACAACTCACCTTAATCCCACCCGTTCAAGCAAACGAAGCTCACCAATACTTTCTGGCAGCGACCGGAGCTCATTATGTTGCAGATTTAGTGTAGTTAATTTCTGACAGTGTTGGATTTCTGTGATGGAGGCATGAACAGGAAAAGACGAGTAACATTGTTGGGAAAAAACGTCGAACAGGTTCCTGCACTGTGGATAGATACCCCTGGAGATACATCGAGATTTCTACCGAGTTAATTTGATGATTCTTAGATATCTCCGAGTTTCAATCAAAACGCCCTGCTAGTACATGAGTATCTTCATACGAATATCTTAAAGCGTAAAATATATACACATTCCAACAAGATTATCATAGCGCGGCTATCACAGTGGCTGTCAACAGAGTAACTAACGGTTACAGTATCAATAACCCGCGGGGTTACTGCGATTGCTTACAACAAGCAAGATCAGTAAGACGAACGTCTTCGGATTCACCGGGTACTTGGAGACCAGATTTCAATTTTCCGGGTGGCAAAAGCAACTACTAATTCATAGTTTGTTCACAACCAGGGTTGGAAGTAACAGCCCTTAAATTCAAAGATGCTATTAATTTGGCACAGTTATTGTGTCTCGTCGAGAAGCTCGGATGTCTAGTATATGGCGGTGGAAGTCCCGAATGGGAATCAAACCAGCCATGATGCCGTCCACTTGTGACTTGAACATTATGGTTTCCGTGGTTCAATATATTGTCATCAACCAGGACATACTACTGATGTCTTGCAGTGGATAATGATGATGAGTTACGAACCTACCAAAGATCGTTTTACACAATTTTTTCCCAGGAAACAAACACACTTGAATATCAACGAAATCAACGTCTTGGTCGTTGCTCAAGACATGAAATACCTTCCCATAAAGCTGCAGAATGTCAAAGAAATCCGAACCAGAGCTTACAACGTCACAGGCAATTTTCGAACCACAGAATTGTACAGGTCTGCACAAGACGGAGGAACTGGAAGTAAAGTAGAAAAAAGTAGACTCACCCTCAGGTAGTTGTTCCAAATGATTGTGGGATACATCCAATGTCATCAGTTGCGTGAGTTTTTCAATACCGGGGTTTGAGGGAAGACTGCGGATTTTGTTCTCACGCACGCTAAGCACTTGCAGTTTCTGCAAACGAGAAGATGCAGGAAAATGTGAGTTTTCAAAATACAATAGCAGAAAGCGTACTACAATCTCGCCGATGTGACTGTCGTAGGAAGATAACGTAAGATCTGTCACTACGGAAAAAATGACGGAAACGAAAAACCCCTCAGATTAATAATATTCCACCATGTTTATTTTACACCTTAATTGCAAAGAAATCGGCTGCCTAAAATGACGAATTATTTTTTCTCAAATTCCGGAAGTAGTGTCCCGAATTGGACGACCGCATCCTCATCAGGTAAGAAACGGGAAGGATCCACCGTTACCTTAAGCATAATATACTCATTTGCAAACTGACTCGGTTTTACCGGGAGACTCGACCGAATCGGGTTCAACTCATGTTGAAGTGAAACATAAGGTTGACGAGAACTCGAGGACTTTGCTTACTAGATGAGTCCAAAGAAGGACGAAACCAGTTGTGAGCTGCCCAAGAGTCTTTAGCAACTTATGAGCAGTGTTGGTATTGTATGGTGAAGCTATCCGACCTGCAATGCCAGTACAACACTCGCTTCGGTGGTATGTATACTAAAACCAGAACTGCCCCTTCACAAAAATGATACGCAAAGTCATGAGGCATTCCACACTCTACTTCGCCCCCTGATGTATGACTCATAGACTTTATATCCTGTAGATCTTCTACAACTTTTATTGCTTGCTTCCCTATGGAATAAAACGCCCAACTAATCAGATGAAATATAAAGACACCAATACGATTCCTATCCGTCAAGAGCTGAAAAGACCTGTTCAGAGGTGAGACTGGCACACACAGTGATACACAAACAGAACAGAAGCCATGGGTCCAGAGTAAAAACACTGAGCATAACTCAAAGGACAAAAGTTCTGCAACATCGTCAACGAATCACTCCACTAGTGTTCTTTTTCCACTAAAATTTTGGAGCAAACAGTTTTCATCCACTCCTTTATTTAGGATTAATGTTGGCTAGACACTAAGTAATTTGAATTAGCATCTGAAGTGTATCGACTCATAACGCGTGAAGCGCTGAGGAGTGCTAACAAAGGCACAGTCGTTTACTCGACTGCGTGCAACCGAACATTGGTATCGATTACTTTCTTGTTGTCCCGTAAAATAGTCTGTCTTGTATTCAAAGATTCACCTGCCCATATTCCAAGGTCAGAATGCACTCAACTTTTCCAAGTTTCAACCTACGAGAAGAGCTCCATAACGACCGCGAGAGCTGACTTCGCCGCACAGCTTCGTTTTTTATTTCATTTAAGCTATTGGTTACTGAAAATCATTCAGTAGCGAGATATTGTGGCGCCAAATAAAAACAACTCACTGTGAGCTTGCTGATATCATCGTCAACCACACGGATTCGATTGAATCGCATTAGAAGATGAGTTAGATTCACAAGACTGTAGATAACTGGAGGAATTTCGCACAGTTTGTTGTGACGAATATCAAGCATGCGCAGATTAGTGCAGCCAGCCAAACTATCTGGCAGACGACTGAGTGAATTTTCTTGGAGCATGAGAATTTCCAAGTGGGGAAGCAGACCAATTTCGGCTGGAAGTGAAGTTGAAGAGCGAAGTATTTAGCTTTCGAACTCTGCGTCAAGTGAGTAGTAGCATGGATATCAAGTGGGAAAACAATGGACTTCCGAGAATAGACAAGCATTGCGACAAATCGAGTGCCCGGTTAACTTCGGGTCAACACGCAAGATGTACCAAGAAATTTCTTCACGGGCAATTCCGAGTTCATTCAGTCAGAGGAATTTACCAGAGATTCATTGAGTCATGATCAAGAAACCCCTCTTTAATGACAAGCAGTCTCAGACTGTGAAGTCGACCAAGTAGCTGTCGATTTGCTCCAAGAGACTGGCAACTAGCTGGCAAATGTTACCGTTCAAGGAGAGAAGGCCGGGTTGGCACCCAACAGCACACTGAGGATGTCTCTTCCAATGGTGCTGAGGGTTTTCGATCCACTTGGTGAGATCATCGAAAAAATCAAAGGCCACATGACAAACGACCATAAACTAGCCGGACCTACCAAAATTTCGACGTACTACTAAGTCTGATGACTGATATGCGGGTTGACGGCAAGATACTGCTTTGCCGAAGGATCAAAGTTTTCCCGAATGGCCAGACGTATGATTTTTTTGAATAAACACTGACTTGTTCAATGATATCTGTGAGATTTTCCAAACTCGCGTTAACTATGAAACGCTATTTGCATGTGTTTGTATAGAAAAGCCAGTACAGCTAATCCCCTCTCATTAGCTCATACTTATAAAGTGATGCACAGCGGGAAATGAATTTGGCAATTTTGTGGTCCCCGCATTTTCGTACGAAATGCTGTTTCATTCTCTAATCTTGTAAGTTTCGGTGTTGTCCGTCAACAATTAGGCACAAGGTTGTACTTTTTCGAATAAACCTGAGTGGTAAGTGGAGATACTTCGTTAGTAGCAGTAGTGTCTAAGACCGAGTCCGGCTACGGGCTTCGGAATGGGTGACAAAAGAATATGGGGTTAGTGGCTACCCATCAATACTCGGTATCCTAGAAGACGAACCCGACGAGCGAGTAGTTTCTCGCATTTCATTTTTTTTTCGTTTTTCGAATGGTGCAAACTTCACGGGCTGTTGCTACGGGCAAGGAAACAGTTGAAGGCCATCTACTGAGCAGTTACCTGAAAACAGTCAAAATCGTCGTGTTCAATAGCGAAACATCAATGTTCACTATTAATTCTTCGCTGTTTGACATTACTGAGATTGAAATCTCTCCACATACAGCACACGAGACTAATCAAAGTTAGGGCTGATTGCTGGTCATCTCCATCCCAATAAACTCACCCAACCTAGCAATAATTCGACACATTTCATAAAGTCAATTTAAGAGTAAACGTTCTGGGTATCAAACGACTGCACCTGCTGGAACTATGAGGGCGACAAAGACATAAATTAACAGTAAATCCAACTCGTTCACAGGAACAGACACGGTTTGTAATGGCTGCTTTTCGCAAAAGTGCATAAGATTAAGTTTCGGCTGGGCATTCGTTTAGTCGTTTGATCTTACTCGGAAGGTGGGATGGCATCTGCTTCCAGATGGACCCGTCACATCAAACTACGCTGATGAACACCCTCGCCACACTGGCTTTGACACCACAGGACCTCAGCACACGACCAGCGGTCAAATCAGACTGCAGATAGTATGCTTCCGAAGTCACACAAGCCCGCAAACTCCGTTTCGGCCTTGGGAAGCGGGCTGTATCGGGGACTCCACCCAGCGCAGCTTGGTGCATAATGAAATCCTGGGATCGGACAGACATCCATCAAGCTGACAGTTGAGCAGTATACCAGCATGGTCGTTCACAAAATCCACAACCATAGTGGCCGTTAAATAGAGATTCACGAAGGCTGGGACAAGAAGGCACCCGTTTTACGCCAAAGATTCGGAAATCACCTGAAGTCAGTCCAGTCGTTTACTCGTTTTCGGTTTCACTTTGTCAACTAGTTTTCGGATGAGTTTGGTGAACTTTGACAGACAGCGATAGTTAAAAAACGACCAGGATATTTCTTGGTTGACAATGCCAATGACATTCCTGGAGTTTACGAAGGGCGGATAAATTGGCTGGTGATGTTCGAAGGACTTTTCTGAAGCGATGGTGCAGTAAATATCGGGTCTATCGTGCTATGAACAGCATGTAATCCAAAATGGATTTCGGGATGTGTGCTTCGATGATTTCCACCACCATACATTTGAGTAGCACTCGTGTAAAGAACTTGCCTGCGCAGCTCAGCAAACTGGTACCTCTGTATACAGCAGTGAAGCATAGTGTTGAACACTGATGTTATATTGTCGGTGATGATGATAATATCTCTGTTGTCGAGTGAAGTCTAGCTTTCACGTCGTTTGTAGAGCTACACCATTAAAGCATCTTTGAATTCTGGTGAAACTTCCTCTTCCTGTCAGATCATGTTGGCCAGTTGAGTGGGAGAATTCTTAAAAGTTGCATCATGATACTGGGAAAATTCTGCTGTAAGCGTGTTTCCTCTAGGTGCCTTGACGTTCTGCAATTTCGGAAGTTCTTCCGTCTGCCGTGTCTCTTCGATAGCCGGAGAAAGATCCAGGGAAAGTTTCATATCTCAATGAAAAAGTCTGTCCATTGCAGTCCAGTCGACGCTTGTCGTTCTGCTCAGTAGTTTGTTGAACTGTTTGCGCCGTATAAGCGATATCTCTGCAGGTAACATCTACCTCAGTCCGGTGTCAGAATCCTGGAGAGCTTAGATCGGTTTTATGCTAGGCCCATGGATTACAAACGTATGATCCATTATGCTGCATCCGGGTGGGAAATTCTTTGACCTGCTCATCTCCTTTTCTCCATTTCTCGTTCATGGTGCGAATGAGTTGCCAAGTTAGGCTATTTCCAGCATAGTTTGGCTGTTGTTCCTTTATATCATCGTCCGAATCGGCAAGTGATTGTGCTAGCGTAGCGTTTTTTCCAGTTACTAGATGTTTTATATGCTGTTGTCGTATCGACCGCAGTCGTCCGACCTGGCTGTCTGCTTTCTTCATCATTCAGCGCTTCAAATTGTGCCACGCTTCTGCCATCGGGATGCACGGATTGAAGGCTCCCAGTGTGCAAGCCGGTTGACGTTGGTTTATCAACCATCATCAACTGACTCTTCGAAACGTTTTACACCAATCATTGTGTTCACTACTGCATTTGACGCAGCTGACAAAGCTAGATTCTAAGCTTCGTTCAGATAACTTAATGGCATGCTCCACAGGACGCTCATCGCGTCACCCGTGTGACGCACACCTTTCAAAAGTCAACAACGTAATCGAGTAGAGAGTAGCGGCGGCGTTGGTGTATCCGTGTAGCGATGCGTTGTCGGTCAAAGCAAAATCCCGTGTTGATGATAGCAAGCGCTTGGACAGCGCAGTCTGATTAGTCGGTCATAGTTGGCGTTTACGGTTCCAATCACATGGTGTCCGAGAACGCCTGGCCACAGAGACTTGTCACGACCGACCCATGTGGTGAAATCTACCAGCCACAGTATTTTGTCGGTTTTCGGGACTGATCAGTATCCGTTTCGAATCAGAAATTGTCTCTGCGGTAGTCCATCCAAAACATTTCGTTCTCTCCTCAAATGCATCTCTCCAAGGGCACCCAATCAGGGAACAGATTTCCGTTGCTTAGTTACTTGTAAGTAGGTCAGGGATTGAAGCAAACCATCGGTACGGTAGGTAAGGGGTTGCGATCCGAACAATGCGATAAGTGTCACAGCTACTCACGTGGTAAACTGACAAGCTTGTTGCAGTAGAGATAAAGTTCCCGCAAGTGTCCGGCCAGATCTCGGATAGAAGGCGGCAACGAATGCAACTGGCCTTTGGACAGATCAAGACGGGTTGTATTCTCTTCGCGGCACCGATGGATTTCCTTCAGGGCATCCTGGAAAAGCCACGGAGAGAACGAGCTAGGTTAAAGCAGGCCTGACTCATAAAGCGCAAAATAACGCTGGTTAAGGAAACTGATGTCAGACTGATCAAATTAGTGAACAGCTTGAATGTAACCTTTGGTGTTAAGCTCAGGGCCACTGAGGTGAAATGTCCACATGCGAACCGGTACACTAGTTCCGATAGTTACGTAACTCATCAACGGCTTCAAAGAGATCAATTTTAGCAATCTACTCCACGTTGACCACACTTCCAGCCGGAATGCTAGGAATCACAAGATGAGTCTACAAAGGAAGACGAGATTTAAACCACAGAAACGACTACCCTTGACCGTTCATCTGAGAGACTATCCATGTGGTCATGATTGGGGGTTGTTTACGCTCAACAAGAGTAGCCATTCTTCTGAGGTATCTCTCTTCTGGGGTGTCACTGCGCGAAAGCTTAGACATTCACAAAAAGGATATCGCAAGTAATTAAGATAGGGGCAAAATCACGTATGATCAAAAAGGGAGTTTACGTCAACCTACTGAAACTGTGTATACCTACCAAATAGAATGCCAGAATCTGATTAAACAGGCTTAGTCTGACGAGATCATCATTCACCCAACAACGAATGACAAAATTCGTGGTACTAAGATAGAAAGGCCTACTGAGGCCCACTAGCTATGGAAGGTGATGAGCAATTCTAGCACCCAAAGTGAAAGATGATGACCATAAAAAGACGATTGCTTTTGCTGATTTCATTTCTGTTACCAGTTAGAGGTAAGGGATATCATGTTTTGCTCTCAGCATTTGTAAACCGACGAACCTGTCTAACTCTCATTATCTTGTTACGTTTTAGACGCCTGAGGTCGTCAAACTCATTTTGTGAGAGCGGAAGTTAGTTTTCGTCTCTGGCGTTCTTGTAATCTCACACAGAGCTTCGTTAACCAATCGTGTTAGCTTTTTTTATTTCCGCCTCAGCGTAATTATTACGTCTGGTTTTGGAACCTTCCGAGAGAGGTTAAAATTCAGGCCTTTTTCTGATAATCTACATTTCTAGCATACATGCTCCCAGGAACGCCGGCGAACATACGCTCCCTTGGGAAGGGCTAGTTGGTACAATTAGTTAGATGTCACTGATAGTTCGCCTTGAGGCGTTTGAACTTACTGATACAGGATACGCAGAAGTGGAACGTTTTAAAGGTTGCATATAGGCTGCACCTCATCAATGAGCAAAGTGGATAACATGTTGTTCAGGTTGCAGATGCAGTGACTAATTCAACACGTCACCCTTTCCATATGGTATCGCTTTGCCCATGTCTTTGGGGAAGCCAAGGGAGATGTGCGAAGCCTCTTTGCTCAGAGTGATCCTTTTTGAGGCATTCCCCAGAAGGTCAAAAAATGAGACCACATTAGAGGTAATAATGAAAACACTTGTCGTGGGATGGGATTTTTTCCCTCTTCCGCTGATGAATGACCTACAGCGAACAGACCTGTGGGAATATTTGAATGTTCGTTAGCAATTTGTAGTGTGACCGAAGACTTAGTTGCGAGTAAAGTACGGTCTTCGACTCACTTGATGTGAACGGAATGCAAACTTATCCAGATAAACACCTTCAGTGCAGTTTGAAAGCTTGCTGAATGGCACAGTTAGAATAGCATTGAATAGGATCTATTAGCCTAGGGCTCGATTAACTGCATGCACTAAGATGAAGCATTCCAACACGGACCAGTCGGCAGTTGATGAAGACCGACTGTGTGAAACTCCAATCAGGCCAACCGGGGATTCATCGAGTTAGGCATCACCGTTCAATCTGTCATTCACACAAAACCAGCACATGGTGAGTGCTGCAAGTTGAGAGGGGCTGACATAAGTGTTTATTAGTCAACTTCAGTCAAAGAATGAATGCATAACCATGAAACGAAAAGTATAGCACCTCTATTTCCGAAAAACTTCGTTAACCAAACTCCACATACCTCTCAAATTGCTTTGAATTCGTGTACTCTTAATAACGATAAACAAATGGAAATTCTACCTCTCAAACTCAGCCGTGTATTGAAGTGATTCTCAGCATTCCAGACTTGTTAATCATTTGTTCCACCCACGTAACTCCTTCAATCTTGCCAGTTCCAACGTTCGAACACCAATGTACATAGACTAACCAGCTGGCCTAGTTCAAACTACGGGCACATGAAGCTGACTTATATAACCTCTCGGAGATAAGCTTGAACAATACCACAGTTGCCTGGTTTCTCAGTTCGACTGTGGGACTAACTCCTGTCTTCGATTTCCTTCAGATCTTACAGCCACAAGGCCAATGAGGCTGGATCCCAACGAACAGTTGATTAGTTGTTGCTACACTTGAGGAATCACGTAATGTGGGTTAAACGCAACCAAAAAGTTTCTATTTTTGTCTGTGCGCCTATTGCGTGCAGCCACGGGACAACAGAAGATGGATTCTATCAAAGTCCACATGACCAACTCTGTCAGGCACCCAGTTCAGACACACCAGGAGACACTGCGCAGTGCCGAAGCTCATTGAGGACCTGCACTCACCTAGCTAACGTGTACATAGTGCCAAGTAAAACAGAGAACCAAAACGCATGCAGTGCAAACAATGAAAAAGTTCCAACTGTTTGTGTGGATTTTTCTATTCTTCGGACACCGTATATACATATATTGTATTCTTACCCTGCAATTCGTCCCCTCGAATAAGGGACTCCTCTTCAGGGAACCACTTCGTCCAAGTACCGCCAACCCCCACGTCCTACTACTGCTCAACAGTGATAATCTTTCTTTCAACAACCGGAGGATGCGAATACCGTTTAACGTGGAAATTCATTTTTTTTCCTTAACTATGGTAAGTCGTGATGCTCAAAAGCCGAGTTTGGCGCTACTGGTTACCTATGGTGAGCATCTTTGATACTACCTAACGGACTTGACAGCTGAAATGTTCGCAAAAAGGAATAATCTCATGGTTAGTGTGCAATAAAACTATGGAATGTACCACAGATCGTGAATTCTCAACTCTACAGACCCTACAAGTAATATGAGCTCAATTACTCGGTGAAAGGTCTGCTGTGTGCTAGTAATCTGTTCATATAGCTCGGACCCTGGAACGATCACGCCATTTGAAAGATTATGTTCCTGGCCTCGATGTTGAATGAGTACGACTCGGTTCAATCATGGAGTAGGGCATGGAACACGTCATAAAACACGGCTTCGTCAATGTTAGGCTGTTAAAGATTATGAAGGTGAGCGTTACAACGTCTCCGAAAACTGATGGAGCCACGAAACCTCTGACTTGCTAATTCCTAATTTACTTTCACAGATCATTTGCGTCTCAGTTAGCGCACTGCCCTGGATTATTTTACCCCCGACCACCATGCTCGTGTTTTTTGTACCATAGTTTATAGCAAGCAAATCATACCCAATCATCATTCATAATAAACTTGTAACCACACTTTAACATCAGTTATGAATTATGCTCATCAAGGCGACTGCAAACCGATTCAATTATGGAAGAGCGCCAAGATGTCGATAGTTTGGGTCAGTTCCAAACGCCAGCTGGCATACATGCCCACAAGGTGAAGATGGATCTTCCTACTGTCCCGTGCTGTTTGAGTGCGGAGAGGTGTGATAACTGACCAATATTCGAACACCGTCTTATGAAAGAATCTATACATCTTTACCGTATTATACTCCTTGGATGACGATGATTCTGAGGACGATCAATCAAATAGCAAGCAGGAGGGTGCATCAGTGAATGAGAAGTAAAAGACCTTGATCGCTGGGAAAAGTTAGCGAACTAGCACCAGTCAATGAAGTTGCGCAAATGAATTTGGCATGAAGAACCCTAACAGCATCCCAGGTTGATGTCCATTGTGTGAGACTTGTATTTCGAACGGGATTAACTGGGGAGAATGATGCAACATAAACAATACAGGGTGGTATACATCATATAAATGAATTTGGAAGAACCCTAACAGCATCCCAGGTTGATGTCCATTGTGTGAGACTTGTATTTCGAACGGGATTAACTGGGGAGAATGATTGATGCAAAACAATACAGGGTGGTATACATCATATATAAAGTGATAAATAAGATGGCCTACGGTCCATAAAGTTTAATATTCAAACTGAGATTTATTCGACTGTCATAGGAAAATAGGAATATGGTTAATCCTCCGAAATAAGTACCGCATCCCCGAAAAGGACCACTTTGGCCAAGTCCCACAGGTGGTCCCCATCTATCTCCTATATATATATATATATAT